TACTCCAACTGCATGTCCATATTGGTGACACATTCTCTGATGTAATGATAGTGAGTGTCGATGTGCTTACTTCGATCATGGAAGACGGTATTCTTTGTCAAAGCTATTACTGACTTGTTGTCCACAAAGATCTTTGTCGGCTCCTCTTGTGGCACACTCAACTTTTTTTAATAATTTTCGTAACCAAATAGCATGGTAAACATATAAAGTAGTCGCTACATACTCCGCTTCACAAGTAGAAAGGGTGACAATCGGTTGCTTCTTCGACATCCATGTGAAAACTGTTTCTCCAATGAAAAACACAAAACCACTTGTGCTTTTCCGATCATCAACGTCCCCACCCCAGTCACTACCGATATATCCAACAAGCTTGTAATCATCAGAAATTGAGTAATACAAGCCAAAGTCTATCGTACTTTTGATATAGCGAAGGATCCTCGTAGCTACCTTGAAGTGAGTGCTTGTTGGATGCTCCATGTATCGGTTCACAACTCCAACTGCATATAAGATGTCCGGCCTTGTACACATTAAGTAACGTAGACTTCCAACCAAACTCTTGAAGATTGTTGGATCCATACTCTCTTTTTCTTCTTGCTTTTGATAACTTGGCTCCACATTCCATTGGAGTACAAATGGGATTCGAGTCATCCATCTTGAACTTCTTGAACACCACTTTAGCATAACCTTCTTGAGTAATGAAGATTCTATTCTCTTCTTGTTTCTAAGGTAGTAGGACATCAATCCAATATCGGTCATCTCGAACTCCTTTGTTATCTCCTTCTTGAATTCCTCGAACATACTTGGATTGTTGCATGTGAATATCAAGTCATCTACAAATAAGCATGCAATCAATACATCATTGTTCTGTGTTTTGATATATAGCGCATGCTCATATGGACACTTGATGACGCATTTCTCCTTGAATACTTATCAATTCGAGTATTCCAGGCTCTTGGTGCTTGTTTCAAACCATAGAGCGCCTTCTTTAATCTCAAGACTTTGTCTTCTTCTCCTTTGATTATGTAGCCTTGGTTGCTCAATGTAGACTTTTTCTTCAAGATCTCCATTTCAGAAGGCTGATTTGACATTCATTTGATGTATCTTCCACCTCTTTTGCGCTGCTAATGAAATGATTAGTCTAACTGTTTATAATCGAGCAACAAGAGCAAATACCTCGTCATAGTCGATTCCGGCTCTTTGACTATAGCCCTTTGCACCAATCTTGCCTTGTATCTTTCAACTTCTCCTTTGGAGTTCTTCTTCACTTTGTACACCCACTTTACACCAATCGCCTTATGCCCATTTGGAAGTAAAGCTAACTCAAATGTCTCATTCTTCTGTATTGACTTGATCTCTTCATCCATTTTGTTTCTCCATGTCTTCTTCTCCACTGCCTCTTGGAAGTTCATAGGTCTGAAATCCGCAAATAGGCAAAATAAAGTAAGGTTTTCTTGATTTTTGGTTACCTCGTAGAGCTCTTGGAGACTTCTAAAACGTGGAGTCCTTTCACTCGAGCTCTCATCTCCTTCAGAACTTAGTGTTGATGAAGTTGGTGAGGTTGGTGGAGTAACTGGCTCATCTCTTGGCTGCACCAAATCATTTTCTTCAGCATGTGGAAAGAAGTTGTAGTTCTCATGGTTTGATCTCCAATCCCATTCTCCTTCTTCATCAAAGATGACATTCCGACTGATGATTATCTTCTTCATATTGGGATTGTAGAGCTTGTAGCCTTTGGATTTTGCATTGTACCCAATGAAGATGTACTTCTCACTTTTGTCATCTAGTTTGCTTCGTTTCTCATATGGTACATCAGCGTGGGCAAGGCTTCCAAAGACTCTTAGATGTGAAACACCGGGCTTTCTTCCACTTCAGGCTTCTTGTGGTGTTTTCTCCCAAATGCTTCTTGTTAGAGACCGGTTTGATAAAAATACCGCACACGCAACTGCTTCAGCCAAAAAATCCTTGGGTAGTTTCTTACTTTCCGCTACTTCATTCTGTTGGGGGGGGGGGGGGGATCTTGGCACCGTTAATTGTCTTCTAATGCCATTTTCTTCACAATACTTCAGAAAGTCTTTGGACATGAACACTCCTCCACGATCAGATCTCATTGCTTTGATCACAAGACCACTTTCCTTCTCAACATTGGCTTTAAACTTTTGAAGTTCTCAAACACTTCTGTTTTTTTCTTTCAAAAAGTAAACCCATGTTTTTCTTGAGAAGTCATCAATAAAGAGAAAGAAGTAGTTACTCTTACCGAGTGATCTTGGTTTAATTGGGCCACAGACATCTGTATGTATAAGCTCTAATGGCTTACGTGCTCTTGTCTCCGACTCCTTTGGAAAGCTTATTTTGAAATGCTATCCAAGTAAACACCCATCACACACTTGATTTGGATGATTGATGCAAGGCAATCCTCTCACCATTTCTTTCTTAGAAAGTAGTTCCAAGCCTCCAAAGTTGAGATGTCCATAACAAAGATGACAAAGCCAAGACTCCTTCTTATAGCACATCTTGAGACATTTTGCGATGTCATTTTGGATGTTAAGAACAAACATTCTATTCTTTGACATCGGAACCTTGGTGATGAGAATGTTAGCTTGATCTCTTATAGAAAGGCTATTATATTCTAGTCAAATATCATAGCCTTTCTCTAAGAGTTGTCTAAGGCTCAAAATGTCAATTCTCATGCTTAGAATATAGTAAACGTTGGAGATGAATTTATGATCTCCATTCATCATTCGGATGATAATTTTTCCTTTACCTTTCACCTTCATCTTTGATTCATCCCCTAGGCTCACGTCTCATTTCATCAACTCATCAAGCTCCACAAACATGCTTCTTTTCTCGCACAAGTGATTGCTTGCACCGCTGTCAAGGTACCACTTGTGGACCTCATCTCGTTCATCCTTCTTGTATGCCATCAATAGCATATAATCTTCTTGGCTTCTCTCTACAGCATATTTGGACTTGTCTTCAACTATGTTGTTGTTTGGAGCTTTGCATTCGGAAGCATAATGTCCAAACTTCCCACAATTATAGCATTTGACGTATGATTTGTCATACCTTAATTTTAGAGTTCCTCTCCCACGTCCTCTTGATGAGCTTTCTCCTCTTTGTCTTCATAAGACCTCCAACCACGTCCATTTTCATAACCATAACCTCTTCCTCGTCCTTGATCGCCACCCTTCTTGGATGACTTCGACCGCTTCCATCTTCGATTTGATCAATTCGCATCTTGAGTACTTGTTCTACAAGATCTTCCTTTTTTCTTCTTTTCTTCATAAGTTATAGCGATCCTAGTAGTTGCTCCATTGTCATATCCTCCAAATCTTGTATCTCTTCAATGACAATGACAATATGCTCAAATTTTGAATCCAATGATCTTATAACCTTCTCCATGATTCTCACTTCATCTAGCTTTAAAAAACCTTAGAAAGATTTATATATAAAGCTAAAGTAAAATCATATATATTAAACAAATACTTGTTTTATAAACTATAAAAACTACAAATTCTCTTTGAAATAAAAAATTCAAAAAGTTATTTCGAATATAAAAAAACATAATGTGAAAAAGGAGTTGAAAAATGAACAATTACGAAAGATGACAGAAGAACTTGCTGAGAATAGTTATCAAACTTATTTAAAAATGTTCGAAAATATTAATGCTTAAAACTAAAGTAAAATCATTCATATCCACTTTACTGAATAAAATAAATAAAACTTTTTCATAAATAAAAAAAAATAAAGTGTGTAATTATATAGTATAGAAATGAATTTGATTTATACAAAAGAGAGAAAAAATGGCAAATACTTATCAACCATTTTCTCTTAATGATGGTAATATAAAATTGATATGCGACCATATTACTCATCAACGGGATAATATATGAATTTTAATATAAAATATATAAATAAATTAAAACAAGATTATTGATTATACTTTTTAACATAGTCATGTTGTTTACATTCACATGATATGAAAATAGACAAAAATATTCTCACACATTCACAAATATAGTGAGGTAGTTCATCATTAGAAAAAGAAAACGCCTCAAATTAATTAAAATCAACAATTTATCAACTAGGCATAATTTTTTGATATAAAAGCCCATCAAACATATGTAGTATTTGAACAGATCTTTTGCTCTGTCTAGCCAACTCTAACTAAAATTCTTCTCATTTAGAGTTATAACCGATCACAGAACTGAATGAGATGGAAGCTTACATGAAATAAGAGAAAAAATCAGTAGATTGCAATCAGAATAGCGAGACTAAGAGCTATAAGAAAATGGAAAAAATAAAGGACTAATTGTGTGTTTGACAATGAGGTAGATTCTATAAAAAAAAACAAAGGAACATTTAGTTTAGAGTAGAGAAAGATCAATGATGATTTCACTTTGTTGATCTATGAAAAGAAGATGTAGAAAAAGATGAGAAATCAATTGAATACAAATAAACAGTAAGAATATAACAATTCATACATGACAATTTATATTAGAAATTTAATTTTACAATATAGATATATATTAGGACAACGAAAACATTTAAAAAATAAAAGACAAATATAACATACAATAATATTAATTCAATACTCCCTGTGTTTCAAAATGAGTGTCATTTGGCACTTTTCACACAAATTAAGGAAAGCATTAAAAGTTCTGTTTTACTCTTTGTTCACACACAAAATAACATTTTTCTAATTAATATATTAATATAACAAGGTTAAAACATATTTTTTGTAAAAAAATTTACATTGAAAATACAAAACGATACTTTTTATGAAATAAAAATAAAACTCTAAAACGACACTCTTTCTAAAACGGAGGGAGTATAATATATATAAATATATAAAATTTTAATAAAATTAATGAATAAGTCCACGCAACACGCTGATAAAAATCTAGTATTTGATTTTTTTTTCTAGAAAAAAACTCTAAAATTTGAATTAAATATAATTTGATTTAGCCCAATTATTATTTTGTTTTTATTAGTAGTATAGCTTTAAGTAGTAATGAGCTACATTTATATAATTTTGCTACAAGTCTTATCCATTCTACAAATCATATGGCAAGTCTTAATATTCAAAGTAATCGAAGTTCTAGATTTGCCATGAATAATAATATATACTCTCATAGTAGGTCACCATACATCTTGTCTCCAGATGACGTTTTCTTGTGTCAAAAGAAAGAAAATACTCCTCAAGTCTCATCTAAAAGACCCAAAAGTACTTTAACGAAACAGCAAAACCATAAACAAAATGCCAACAACCTCAGAAATTTTGAGCTGTCAAGTTTCTTCCTTATTCAATCTGCCGAAGGATCTCTCTGCGGATATTCTCTGTTCCTGAGCTTTCTTCTTTTCCAAGGCTTCTTCATCGAGGATTTGAATAGGAGACCATTCAGGCAACTTCACTGAGTCCATGTTGCGAAAGGTCGCTAGCATTGGTTTTGCTCTAAGGACAGCATAATCACAAGCTGTGCCCATTGCAGCAAAAATTATAGAGTACCGCAACGCACCATGAGGACCTCCTGTAAACACCTATAATATATTAGTTCCAAGCTTCATATCCTAAAGAGAGACACTCATGAAAGATTCATTCCCATTGATTTAGTCAGCAGAGTTATTATGATTTGATCTAATTGTTGCTAATATAGCATCTCATGATCAGACTAGCGAAATGCACCATGAGGACAATATATCAGTCCCAAGCTTCCTAACCTAAGGAGTTATTAACTTATTATGATGTGATCTTATGGTAGCCACTAGTCAGCCTACTTCAGAGCATAAAGACACCCAAATTTTCAGGGAGATTCATAAAGATTAGTGGACAAATGAGGAAGATACAGTAAAATAGAACAACGAACCTTGAAGTCTACCAAGCAAAGCACCACTGAAAAGCCCTCCAATAGCTGAGTTCATCAAATCATCGTGTTCTGATCTTCGAGTTATTCTCACAAACTCACGAGCTCCTAACCAAAAACCAAAAGATTTCGCTGACATCACACAATGTTCACAGTAACATGACAGTCACAAACACTCGGTTTCAATCTTCACGAGACAAAAATGAAAATGAGCAGAGACACTAAGAGATTGTTGTTGCACATTATAGCAAAGGAGAAAATTAGGTACCACAATAGCAACCAGCGACGATAGCGAAATTAGTAGTGTAAATAGAGGGAATATTGGGATAAGCTTTCCGGTGTTTAGACACTAAGCCAGCTCCTCCTCCAATAACTCCTGCACATTAACATTCTTCTCAGACAAAAAAAAACACGATGCTACGTTTCTTACATATTCTATCACTTACGTGATGATACTCAATAAGTCCTGCATATGAACATCTTGTCATACAATCGCATGTTCACAATGCTACAATACTTACATGTTTAATTACTTATATGCTAAGATCCTCAATAAGTTCTGCATATACATTCTCACACAATCACAATGCTACATTTCTTATAATGTTCAATAACTTATATGCTATGATCCTCAATAAGTCCTGCATATGAACATCTTTTCACAAAATCACAATGCTACATTTCTTACATGTTCTAACTTATATGCTATAATCCTCAATAAGTCCTGCATACATCTTCTTAGACAATGCTACACTTTTTACATGTTCTATTACTTATATGATATGATCCACAATAACTAAGCTAAAGAATAATAATCAACAGCCAAAACCAAAGGGTCTTTGTCTTCATAAAACAGCATATAACTGGTGAATCCTCCATAAACCACAAGCTAGTGCAAAATCTCAGACGAAGTTATGAAATCTAATTTATTAATCTGTAAAAAAAACCCATAAATCGAACTTCAAGTCACTGATACAAGAGCGAGAATCTGCTAATGGAAGTTCGTTTTTACTAAAACATCAACTTTTTTGCTATTTCCAAGGAATTTTCGCAACCAAAAATCTGGAAAATGCTTCTCAAGGGGATATTCAGAAACAAAGTGTAGTAGTATCATATAGTCTTTGCGTTTCTCTTGAACAAAGAGATGAACAGAAAGTAATCAATGAACTCAAAAGACCGAAGAAGCAGTGAAAAAGGAATTCGCGAAACCTGCGAGAAGGCTGGTGATCAACAAACGCTTCGTCGGAGTAGTTGGCTGCACAATCGGCATCGGAGGAGAGAAAAGCTGATTCGTCCGATCACCGGACGCCATTATGACGGAACAAATGGCTGAAATGCCACTTTTGTTGAAAAACTAATCTCGTATGCCATCTTCTTATTTATAATTTATTTTTGATTATTTTTTTTAATAACAACGCAAGAAATACCCTTTTAATCCTTATTGAATTAAACAAATTACACAACATAACCATTCAAACCTGCTAACTCAACTAGAATCTATCTACTCCTTTTTTTCCGACTATCATTCTATTTTCTTCATCGGGTTCTTCATCTAAGAATTTTTTTTTTAATTCCAATGGATGCGCGCGCTTCTGCTCCGATGTCTCTTCCCTTCCTTAATCTTCAGTTTATCAGCATAACAGCCTCGACCTCTACTTGCTCTCTCTCACTAAGGTTTTCCATTTTCATCTTCGTTCTCTGTTGAATTACTTTTTTCTGATATTTTTTTCTGTACCCTTTTGAAGTTTAGTCCTCTCATGTCTGTAGATTCGTATGAGTTTCTTGGCACGTCTCTTATACTGGAAGCTATGCTGTTGTGTCGAGTTTCTTTATTGCATTCTTCACTTATTTTTTTTAGGTTTAGTTCAGCAATGATTGTTGTAGCAATTTCAGGGCTCAAAATTCTGCAACTTAATTAATTTTTACAATTTTCCCTAGTTTAGGTTTCAATGAATGATGATGTGTGAATTTGTTTATGCAGTACTGCGATGATATATTTGAGCCGAAGCTGGAAGAGCTCATTAATCAGTTGAGGGAAGGTGATGAAGGCTGGATGAATGGCTAAATAACCATTTAACTAATCGATTTTCCTCTGTCTTCACCAGATGATCTTTTAAATTTCTTTATTGACGTACGAGGTTAGCTTCCTTGTTTTCATCATGTTTGGAGCTTTGATTCTGGAGTTGTGCAAGATGATCAGATTATTTTGGATCTGAACAGCAACTTGGGAATGTTTGTTCACCGTTGCATTTGGGCATTTAACTTTTTATTGTTCGAGGTATTGTGCTTTGTTTTTATTGTTTTATCCAGCTTAAGATCCTATAGTAAGTGTTTGGTTTTATTTAGAGTTTTGCATGATTTTTTGGAGAGTACAGTTTTCCTTCTGTTTGCAGCATGATCCTGTTTGTCGTGTGATTGCTAACCAACATATTCAAAAGTAAAAAAAAAAAATCAGTGAGTTTGATTGGATGGAACAAGCAAAATCCAAGATACATGGCCACCATTATCATGGACAGTGCTAAAGTCGTGGTGTTCAACATTCATATTGCTAGTCCTTCAATGGTGGAGCTTCAGCAACATCAAGTTATGGAATTTTATATCCGGATTTTGTGAGAACTATGAAAAATATAATGTGTGAGGTACAACTGAAATAAATAGTTTGACTGAGTTCGATTGAGGGAGTTTTACGGTTCAACCGAGTTTTATAAAGTTCAACTGGATTTTATTAAGTACAATGGATAACACAACTAATGAGATACAACTGAAATACATGGTTCCATTGAGTGAGGTTTACGGTCCAACTGAGTTTTATTAAGTTCAACTGGATTTTATTAAGTACCGCGAATGATACAAGTAATGAGGTACACCTAAAATACATGGTTCGAATGAGTTATATTATCGGTTCAACTGAGTTTTATTAAGTTCAACTAGATTTTATTAAGTACGATGGATGACACAAGTAACAAGGTACAACTTAAATACATGGTTCGACTGAGTTTGACTGAGTGAGTTTTATTGTTCAACTGAGTTTTATTAAGTTCAACTGGATTTTATTAAGTACAACAGATGACACAAGTAACGAGGTACAACTGAAATACATGGTTTCATTGAGTGAGTTTTATGGTTTAACTGAGTTTTATTAAGTTCAACTGATGACAAATTATGGTTTTTCATAATTGTTTATTTTTTTTTTAATAAAAATTGAAGCATCTTCTCTCTCGTCTCCTCTCTCGGAATCGTCTCTCGTCTCCTCTCTAGGAATCGTCTCCTCTCTCGAAATCGTCTCTCTCATTTCCTCTCTCGGAATAGTCTCTCTCTCTCTCGGAATCGTCTCTCTCTCTCCTAATCTCTCATTCTCTCTCTCTCCCTCTCCTAATCTCTCTCTCTCCTAATCTCTCTCTCTTAATCTCTCTCTCTCTCCTAATCTCTCTCCTAATCTCTCTCCTAATCTCTCTCTCTTTCTCTCTCTCGAAGAAACAAATAATAAAATTAGGGTTTTGAAACATTTGGAAAAATGGACTTTTTGAAAATAAAATTAAAATATTGCAAATTCTTCCTGCTGGTGGAAAACTTCCCGCTGGCGGAAAACTGAAAATTTATTAAATTTTCCAAAATAAACTGAACTTAGTTGTCCCCAAGCAAGTAGTTGAACCAAATTCCTAATAGTTGTACTTTTGTAATTTTATTGTATTTCTAGTTGAACCTTCCCCTAAACTATTATGGTGTAGTTGTACAAATGATTTTGGACCATTAAACATCATTTACAACGTTTTCATAGTACAATGTATGAAGAATTTAATATTATGATTTTTTTACTCCTAAAAGGCTTAACAATATTGATACCTTCCTTATATTGTAAGGGATGGTTTATGTGAAAACATGATTTTGTATCAAAATAAAAAAATTAATGTTCTCTATATTAGTAATTGTTTCTTTATAGTTGAAAATGTGTATATAGGTCTTAATTGGTTGATTCACATCACTTGTAGCTTTAAAAATGGTTGAGTTCACTTCTAAAGTTGATATTAGTTGTACCCAGTTGCACTCAGTTGCACTTGTTGGTGCAATTTCAAGAAAAACACAAAATTATTAATAATTATACCTAGTTGCTCCTGGTGGTTCGATTTCAAGAAAGTCAAACACGCAAGTGTTAATAGTTGTACCCAGTTGAACCTAGAAGTGCAAATCAGAGAATGACAAACATATAATCGTTAATAGTTATATTCAGTTGAACATGGAAGTGCGAATTCAAGAAAGACAAATATGTAACTGTTCATACGTGTACTCAGTTGTACTTGGTAGTACAAATCAGAGAATGAGAAACACATAAACGTTAATAGTTGTACCCAGTTAAACCTAGAAGTGCGAATTCAACAAAATGAAACTCAGAATTGTTCATACGTGTACCTAGTTGAACCTGATCATACAAATTCGCCAAACTCAAACACATAAAGATTCATAGTTGTACATAGTCTAACATGGTTGTACAAAACCGAGAATTACAAAACGCACACATACACACAAATCAAACTGCACTACAAAACAGATGCTATTAAGCGTGGGGTGCGTCTCAACAGCCCGAGAGCATATATCCATCTTTATGTATACTCTAACACTGAAATAATCTGATTTCTTAAATCTTGCAGCTCGTAAATACCATTTACAGCCTTGACTCTTTTGACGGCATTCTATAATAAGCCGCCCTGTATCAGACTTATATGTATGGACCCCAAAACAGTTTTTATGTGCAGCTCTGTTAACCATATCTTCCTGCATATCGTTATCTTATTTACTAACGCTGAGTAAGTTATCTTCTCCAATGATAAGTTCCTAAATGGTATAGCATAGGTGAAATTACTTGTAAACCATTTCAACTCCCCTCCATCACGTGAATAACTCCCTTCATAGTCAAATGTATGTTTGTGCGGTTGATGTTCATGCTCTCCTGAAAATATAGTGAAAATAGTCGATCAGTTGAACTCAATTGAACACAAAGTACCACAGTTATACCAGTTGAACTCAATTGAACTACATTGAACTCAGTTGTACCAGTTGAACTACACCTCTCATTTGTACCACTTGTACCAGTTGAACCCAATTGAATTCAGTTGTACCAGTGCAACTATACCTCACATTTGTACCAGTTATACTAGTTGAACTCAGTTGAACTAAAGTGAACTCAATTGTACCAGTTGAACTACACCTTTCATTTGTACTAGTTGAACTCAATTGAACTAAATTGAACTCAGTTGTACTAGTTGAACTATAACTCTCATTTGTACCAGTTGAACTTAAGTTTTCAGTTGTTCCAGTTTGCTCTCAGTTGTACCAGTTGTACCATTTTTCCTATCAAAATTCTGGGAATTTCGAGCTCGAGTTTCGTTGTTCTGCATATGAATCTGATTAACATAACCATGTTCTTCTCACAAATTACCGAACCTATGACTTAATATATCCAGAATACATTGTTACCAACCCAGATCCCTAAGTTTTCAAATCTAAAGCCCTAATTTTACACTCTAATTGAAAAAGAAGAAATCACCTTCAAAATATGAGATCTTCAATAATGGCAGAAAGAGGACTGAAATTTTGGGTCGGACGAAGTGGAGAAAAAGTCGATCTAGGTTAGACGAAAAGGATGACGGGAGAAGATGCTCATAGAAGGAGCTTGGAAACCAGAAGAGAGCTCGGGTGAGAAGAGGGAGGAGGAGCTCTCGTGGAGATGCTCGAGCTATGGGGGATCGATGATTCAATTTTTTTTTTTTCAAAAATTAATTTTGTTTACTTTTATTTCTTTTACTTTTACTAATTTATTTTTATTTGGTTAATTTCAGTAACCTTAATTAAGGACTGATTTGTAATATCACATCTCATTTAAATGAGAGAGTGACATTAGATCATGTGATGGCAGTGTAGATCAATTTTTCTGTGAAAATGGCATTTGAGCTCTTCGCTCCATTATGACGATGCTACGGAACTCGTGAGACTTTTCCTCAAAACGCAGTCCAATTTCACTGTGGTAATAAGAATCGGGTTGATCCAAAACCCGGAATTGAACCCTAACCCGACCTCAAATCCGAACCCAAACCCGACCCGAAACCTGGTAATAACTCTTACTTAATTAGAAAATGAGCCTGAAAGATGTTTTAGACTTCACATTGTTCCCACGATATTTCAAAAATAGAAAACTGGACCTTCGTGGTCCGATCAAGAAGTGTCTAAGATTTCGCTACACGCAACATTCTGATCTTAATCTTAGACACTCTCACTTTAATGTCACTTCAAATGTTGTGGTTTTTCTTTATAACAAAGATCGATCTAAAATGTATTGACATGATCGTTTCTGTTGCAGAAAAGTGACATTCACTCTCTAAACTTTAAGAACAACTCTTTCGATATAATATATCCTTTAGCAGATTATATATATATATATATATATATATATTTGTGCCAGTTGAGTACGATCTCTTTTTTATTGCATCTGGCCACTATTCGTAATAGTCTTTTTGGGAAACTAGAGTTATATATCTAAACATTCGGAGTGGGAGACGAAGACATTGAGAATATATAAATTATGTAACTCGAATGTCAGTGTTTGCAAATTGCAACAATTTTCCAAATTTTAAACATCCTTAAAATTTAACTCGGATTTTAAAAATATTATCTTTACAAGGTAAAAATGAATAATATAAATAGAAGCATAAACTAATATAAGAAATAGAAAATAGTTTTTAAAGTAGTAAAACGTACCCTAAATATATATAAATTTCTGTAATTAGGATTAGTCTTTACTTTTTTTAAAAAAAAAATTCTTTTCTTAATTAACATGTTTTATTATTCCTTTTTTATAGATATCGAAGCAATTATATTTGTTTATTTATTTTATTTAACAATAATAATATTTTTTAAATTTATGTTTGATTTTTAATTTAATTATGTATAAAAATTATAACCTAAAAACTTGACGATAACTTCAGCTATAATAAGATAGTAGCTGAAAAAGAATAGGAGCGTAGAAAGTTAAAAGGGTTTTGTTTGAAATTTGATAGAATGACGATATTCCAA